TCAGCGATTCCCTACGTCCCTAGGCAGGGAGACACGGCATCGTATTCTGCGACGGCGATAAGGCGCGCCGCAGAATTGGCCCAACAATGGCTCACCTGTACGAGATTTTCTTCTCGGTCCCCCAACTCTAACTCGTTTCGTCCTACGGTAAAGTTTGCCCTTTTTTCTTCGCATTGCAGGCGCCCATGATTTCGCTCTGCCATCCCCCTTTTATGTTTTCCGTGGCATTCGTTGCGGTGCGTGACCTTGGTGCGATTCCCATCACACTGTTGCTCCCCGCCAGCATTGGCCTTCTCGCCTTACGCTGCGCTGACCAGCCTCACGATCCCGATGACACCCGCCCGCCACGATACCCCCACTCGCCGGGGAGGGGAGGGGAAGGGGGGGGGGCCTAGCCACGGAGTTCGGCCCCTTTGGCCCCCCTCCCCCCTGATCGAGTGAAGCTGGACGTGTCGAAGGGTCGAAAGGGGGAGGGGACCGGGGGGGGAGGGCGGCCCAGGACGCCAGCCCGAAAGCTTAGCACACCAGATTCAACGTGACATATGCGGGCCATTTCCATCCTCCTGGCGCTGGCGTCTCGCCGATTGGCCCGGTGACCCATGCTCTCGCCAACAGACCCCTAGCCGTAGATCGTATTTTCCAGCTGCAAAAAAAATGCTGTTATCGGGCTAGCGCTCAACATCGGGAGGGGCAAAGGGGAGGCCCTGTTTTGGTGGTCTTTGGAAACGGTTGAACGGGTGCTCCCCTTTCCAGCGTGCGGGGAATGGTTCGACCCCTATATCGTTAGCCTCCTCTAGCCTGGGCCCTGGCTGGGCTCGTCGCCGACCTATTTTTTGGATGCAGCTGGGCGCCCGGCCAAAGAGATTTGGCCGCTTTGGACATGGGACACAGGGCGGGGGGGGGGGGGGGGGGGGTGTGTGTTGTGGTGCTCCCTGGCTGGCCCTTCTCGATACATTGGGGCTCAATTCTCTTTTTTTTTTTGAGTTGGGGTTAGCTCCGGGACATGGGGACTTGGCCTACCCCCCACCTACCTTTACCCTCCCAAGGGTTCCGTACCACCTTAAGGCAGGGTACCTATCTAGGGTACCTACCCTCAGCTTACCTACCTAGTTATAGTAGTAGCATGACGTCCGCCTCTCCGGTCCTCGACATTGTGGCTTCACCTTTATTTTTATCCCAACCTCTCTCTCCGTCTCTCTCTCTCTCTCTATCTCTCTCACTGCGATCTGTTTTCCCTGTTGGGTCGTCCCCCCAATCCATCGTACCCGCCGTTGTATTCTGGCCTTCTTCGACCCCCTTCCGCTGCGAATAATCCCCCCCCCCCCTCTCCACTGCTCGCCATCACCGCCCATCATGGGCCTCGCCTCCCCGGCCTCCATGTACCACCAGATGCGTGTGCGCGGCCTGCAAAGGCCCGCCACCATCTCCGTCGTCTTCGGCGCCGTCCTCGCCTTCGTCTATGTCCTGTTGCAGTCCTCGGCGCCTTGGAACCTGACCTCGTCACATACACGGTATGGCGAGCCCGCCCTCGCTTTTTGTCACTCGTGCCTTCTTCTGACAGCGCGCTTCAGGTTAGGGAAGGAGTACAAGATCCCCGTCCGCCAGATCGAGGGCCTCGCCGACGCCATCGCCGACAT